CCCCCCGTTCACACAAACACACATACACACACAGGCAAACACACACATCCTCACACGGCACACACACACACACACACGGGCCACTCCATTTGCAAATAACCAAAACATCTCGGGAACGGAAACCGTTCGGAGAAATAGCGCCGGCCATAAAAATGACTGTCCCAGATGTCCATCATCTGTGAGGCAATCACTAGATTCTAGATCTAGCCAGATCTAATCTCCACAACAACTGGTGGCCGTTTCTTGAAAAATTTGGACTGTATTAAAAAGTGTATTCACAGTAGGCCTATTCCTTGCGAAATCCATCATGACTATACTCACACACTCACCCGCCATTTATGTGTGTAGGTAGCACTTGTAGGATAGACCACTCTAAATATTTATTTGGGGGCTGTTGGGCCTTGCTAACTCTATGACAAGTAGTATCCCCCTTCAAAACAAATCAGGAAATAGACAACTGTCAACTCTCTCCTCGACAACACCACAGATGCCAGAAAACAGGAAATAAATTGCGGGTGGTAAATTTCTACGAACCCTTCGGCCTCGACTCGACTCGATGTCGTGTGATGCGGAGACTTTGACTTCAGTCATAAATAATATTTATAGAATAAGTAAACCACAAATTGTGCAGCCCAACCACAAGTTACTTGTCTACCACCAGAAATACAACAACTTTAATCATAACCTCCGACACTTTGAATCATTCAACCAGTCAGGTCATACATAATGCCAGGCAAAAAAGTAAACAAATCCCAACGATTAAACGTCCCCACCTACTTTAGGCGATCATAATCGGCCATGTTTGTGACGTCAGAAAATAGACCTAAGGGACATCGCTCACCAAAATACAACATTTTGCTCTTTCTCATTTGAGTTACGACCCCTTTCCTAAGCATTTGCAGTCTCCTTGCCCATAATTTTTTTTTTAATTAACAGAGAAAAAATATTTTTTAAAAACCCAAATCGAGAAGCATTTTCCAGACGTTACATCGTTTTGAATCACATTTTTTAAAACACGCACCAGTCGGGCTCTCTTCAATCTACTCATAGTCTCCTACCCCTACTCCACGCTCCCCAAACCTTCTACCCCGCCCCCCCCCCCTTCCTCAACCACATCCTCCTCATTTAGCCTGCCCCTGTACTTTTCCAAACCCATGCTCTAACTCTTTAACCACACAAGATTTCTCACCAACCCCAACATGGCGAAAAGAGTTCTTCCTTCTTTCCTTCTCTCTCTCTCTCTCTCTCTCTCTCTCTCTCTCTCTCTCTCTCTCTCTCTCTCTCTCTCTCTCTCTCTCTGTCTCTCTTCCTCTCTGTCTCTCTCTCGATCTCTCTCTTCTCTCTCTCTCGATCTCTCTCTTCTCTCTCTCTCTCTCTCGATCTCTCTCTCTCTCTCTCTCTCGATCTCTCTCTCTCTCTCTCTCTCTCTCTCTCTCTCTCTCTCTCTCTCTCTCTCTCTCTATCTATCTTCTCTTTTTAAATAGTTTTTTTCCTTTCTGATCCAGTTCTTTCTCCTGCACTCTCCCTCTCTTTTAGTATAATCTCCACTTTTCCTCTCCTTGTTTCCCCTCGTCGTCCTCTTTTTCAAAATTCAACCTCCCGACCAATCTCTCAACAGAAAAGGGTGAGCATATGAGAGTTTTGAAGGTCCAAGAAAAAAAGGGCAGATACGGGGGACGAGTGGAGAGTAGGCCTACTAGAAGTTGGGGCAGGAGAAAAGAAGAAAATATGAAAAAGGGAAGAGGAAGAATAGACGAGAAAGAGTAACACATGGGAGGAGCGGAAGGGAACATGTTCTTATTTGTATACACAGTTGATTATAGTCCGTTGTTGGTTGATTTGAAAACAACGCCGGTAAATCGGAAGAAAATAAAGTCCCCGATATTTTCCTTCTGTTTAAGCAACTTCTCTAGATCTAGATAATATGTAGATGGAAAATCGGGCTCAACCAAGAAAATCCAGCGGCTGCATAGATTTCAGTTTAAGTCGTGGACTAATTCACTGTACATGTACATGTGCTTACAATACAACAACCTTCAACCTTCACCAACTACATAACTAACTACAAGTATTTAATGCTGCCTACATATCAAGGAGCTTGCTATAATACATATTACATGTATAGATCTAGGGACTTTTACGGGAAGGTTTTTTGTTTTTGTTTTTTTTAAACAACAATTTCCGTATATTATGAACAGGATGGAAATATGAACGATTTCATGAAAAGAAAGTGACATTTTTCTGGAGTGTGCAAGGCAAGGAGCACTAGCATTAATTATTTATCTAGGCCAATGGTGTGCACCAGACTCGCGAGTCTGTGTACCGACAGAGGAAAATGGATGACGTCATGCGCACGTCTGATTGACCTCGATAGGTCTAGCCTAGTCTCGCCAAAAGTACTAGCCAGTTAAGGCTTACAAACGTCTTGAAAGAAGAAGCTGCCTTATTTTTTCCCCAAATTATTAGTGAAAATGTAAATTCAGTTTTAGCATCGAAGCAGAGCTTTGTTTTTGTTATCTTTTTGTTCCATGAAATAGCATAATAATCTATGTAGAGAAGTTGCTAATCCCGATCAACGCGCTGCGCACTGCGCAGTTGTCTAGCCTGGGCCTAAACAGCAGGGAGAGACGAGAGAATGTCGAGGGCTGGAAAAGCAGCCGGTTCTTGTCAATTGATTAGAAAAGACCTTTTTCTGGTATATTCACCGAGTGAACAAAATAAACGATGAATCTTAGTGGGGAAACGGGTCTACTTTTCATTTTTACTGAGACAAACATAGATCACATTGTATTGGAACAAGAACGAGATCCGTGCTCTGTCAAGTAAACAATTCTGACCTAGATTCGGATCGAGCTGTTGTCTAGGTCATCTAGAAATTGGAATTCTAAGCGCTATGAAGAAAAAGAAGTTTCAAACCCTTGTCCCTACGGTACAATAACATATTTGTAATTTGCATTTAAGTCAATTTTTGTCTGAAAACCGATAATTCCTGCGAGATAGGAGAACATTGCTGTGGGCTCACAAGATCCCTCGCCCTTCCATTTTAGACGCACCTCGACAAGTTGACGAACTGTAAAAAAAAAAAAATACATGGTTGGTTTATTTAATTTTGAGATTTATTAGGCCTTCGAATATTTTCGAAAGCGATACATTTTACTTCAAACTTTGTTTTGATACCCTGCATGAAACGACCGAGGTAGATGTATGTCCAGAAAAAAAATGTTTAACGGCTAATAAGAGGAACATTTTGGTGGAAAATGGCGACGAAATGTGCCTCCCCTGTGTTTGTCGTTTGGGTTTTCGCTTTCGTTCTATTTAGAAAAAACGAAATGCTACTACAATACAATGGTCAAGGTATTGAATATTCCATTAGGATCCAAACACGTAACCACTTTAGTGGTGAAAGTCAAACATATATTTTTCCGCCTACATTTTCTGTGACCACCCAGCTATTCGAGGTAGGTCGTGTGTTGCGGGAAAATGAAATTTCTCCAAATTGTCGGTAACGGGGTAAAGTAAATACCTTAGAGAACTAAACTACGTCTATTCTTTCACATCTTTTGTCTCTCTATCATAAATTTAATTATTTTGTGCAAGAGAAAAACGTTTCATAGCTAACGGGGGAAGCACAAACAGCCACGGACGACTAAAACGCGGCCGTTAATCGGCGCTGCTGACAAGCTGCTTCCTCGGACGTCCGCAGCCGGAGTATAAAAGCTGCGCACGGCACAACAAACAGAATTCACTCTGCTCTCAATACTCTGCCCGTGTATACACAACTCAAGTACAGAGGAATTGAAACTTGCACGTCAAAGTGCTTTTATTTTTAAAATACCATTAAACTGTTTTAAACAATCATGAGTGACGTCGCTGCTGACGCTCCCGCACCAGTGCAGGTGGCGAAAAAGAAGAAGACAAACAAGCCTAAAAACAAGAAACCCGCAAACCATCCAAAATATTCAGAAATGATCAAGGTAGGTTTCAAATAGGGAAAATTATCTAATCAGATCTGGTTAAGTGAAATATATTATGATGATTATTATACACTGTGAAATTTAAAGTATGATTCTCTTTTCTATAAAAGCAAGGGAAGATTGAAGAATACCGGACCACTCATACATTATTGAGCAAGAAAGTGGGGCGGGTGGTTGGAGTGGAGGAGGGGGGTCTCCCCCCTGACAAAAATTTAATGAATAGATCTAGATCTAGGCCTACCGGTCCGAGATTCTCCATTGAGAGATATTAAAAACGGGAAAATCATAAATTCCTAAGGTTGAGACATAGGCAAAGTCAGTCTGCTGGTCCGGTATTCTTCAATCTTACCAAAAGCAAATTCAGACAATAATTTCAGACTTGTGACTGCATGCTGAGCTGGTTATTGAATCTGTCTTGGCTTCTCCACTATTAAACTGTTGCCATAATTGTTAGTTGTGAAGTGTAAAATTTAGTTATTTTATGGAAATTAACATACAAAAAACAGTCAAACCGTGTATGAAGTTGGTGGAATAGCAAGGCGGACGGTTCAGTGGGGTTCCATTACATTATTCACATGTATTCAGAGCTGAGAGCAGTCTTCTTTCTCACCATCTCTAATCTAAATTTTTATACGAAGTGACTATTTTTCAGAACGCTCGGGAAAATAAAATTGAACTTTATTTCTCCGAACAGTTTCCGATCTCGAAATTTTTTGGTTATTTGTGAGATTTAGGCGTCATCCTTTCATTCTGCCTTTCTGCGAGGACTGGGGGGGAAGCATTTTTTGCATCGAATTCAATTTCTAGAGCTAGAGATTTTTTTAAATATCTGAATATTCAGGAAAGTGGCTATTCTCACCCGCCCGGAAGTTCTCGCAAGATCAACTCCTCCCCTCTTCTCTCTCTCTCTGTCTCTTTCTGAATACTGTCTATCGGTGTGGACGATCAAATTGACCAAAACAAAGTTTAAAAATGATGTTAAAACACAAAAGTAAATTAATTTGGTTGTCTACAAAGATGCTACGGCTATTTAACTTTTCGAATCGAACTGAACTACGCGGGTCGCCATTTTGTTTTGCCCGGAAATTCTCGCGCTACGCCTCTCTCTTTCTCTCTCTCTCCACTGCCCACAGACAAAATTGTACGCTTTTAGTAGGCTACAGTTGTAATGGAACGTTTGTTCACGGCACAGAATTCTACAATTTTTCTGTTATCACAGTGTAGAATTCTGTGGTTTAGGGTGAACGCAAAATTTGGTGAACGCGCACCGGGTGAGAATAGCCACAAGAATCGCCTGCACTATTCTCACTCCGGGTGAGAATAGAGGTGGCCAATATTCAGATACTTCAGTTGTGGTTGGGTCAACGTTCCCGGACTATACTTCATTTGAAAATGCCTTCAAAAGGTACTGCGAGAAAACAAAACTGCTCGACCTTGTAACCTATTTTGCATTTAGTCGCCCAGCAAAAACTTAAATTCTTCATGTAAAAAAAAAAATCCCCCCCCCCTCCGGTTCACAACATACACACACACACACACAGGCCACTCCATTTGCTTTTTATCAACAAATCTCGAGAACGGAAACTGTTAGGAGAAATAAAGTTCAAGTTTATTTTCCTGAACGTTCGGAGAAATAGAGCCGGCCATTTTTATATGTCTTTCTCGTGGGGGAATGGGCTTGGAAGGATTTCCATAACGAGCGACCACCCCAGCAAACACAATGAAGAAGAGACCTGACCCCAAACCCTACCCACTAGATCCTTCCCCTACCCCTCTGTTCTACTGTCTCGTAGTGGTCTCTCGTTGTGGAAGTCCTCCCTTGGGCTTCGCCAGGTACCCAGGAAGCACGTCATTAACAGAGTGGTCCGAAAAAATGTGGATATATATAATTATTATTATAAACTGTTTTGAGAAGATATTGAAGGAAAAAATTTCGGAATTGGAAAAATATGTCTATATGATTGTCAAAATGTCAATAAATCGGACGTCGATATAAGTGGAATATACTGTTCATTAGGTCATTAGGCCTTACGAGGAAAATTTGAATTGCCAGACATGTCATTGTTTTGTTCTTTTTCAAAAATGTTCTATCCATGTTCACTCAAGATTACTGTAATTTACAGAAGCATCTGTATAAAATTTATCCTGAATGGGTAGACAAGGACAAATTTTAATGAATTGTTAATGAAAAGTTACACATCATGTATAGACCGTTTCATTTTTGTACCTTTTGTTGAGTTTTTGTTACATTTTATGCCATTGCCGTTTGTTTTTTTAGAGTATGTGAATGTTGTTTTTTTAAATGGATCAGGCTATGTCATTAAATTAAATTTGTTTGGAGTATGTTTTTAATTTTTTGCAGCAAATATTCATTACTTTACCCGAATGATATGAATGGTTAGAGGGTGAGCCAAGTAAAGAGATGAATACTATGATGGAAATACAACGTGGGGTAGCCTATTAATTTAAATAAATGATATGAGTTATGGTGTTAAAGCATGATTTATCCTACGAGTGAAATTGCCAAGTTGTAGTCACGAGTTTCAGCGAGCGATTACAACTCATTTCACAAGAAGGATAAATTAAAATTATGATCTACCACCATACCCGTCGGAGTTAAAGTGAGAATTTGAAAAAAATCAGGATTGTTTTCCTATATTTTTAGCCACACATGTACATGGTGTGCTGTCCGTGTATCTCCCTCCGCGAGATAAATGCCAAACGAAATAATTTTAACGTAAGCATGGTCAAAGCAAGCAGAAAATGTACGATTCAAAAGTTAAAAAGTTAAGATACTGCATTTATACTTGTTGTCATGAGAATAGAGATACGATGGCTTTGATTTTAAACTTTGCAACCAAAACAAACCGAAGGCTGGGCAAGTTGTTTACTAGCATAGTTTTGTCCATAGCATATTGCACTAAAATACATCTCCACACTCCGACGTAATTCTGGTTTACTATATGGTTCGCACCATTTGACTCAATTTGGAACAGAATTAAGGGCAATGCAGAGAGTTGTGCCTACTCTCTCAACTATAGGGACAGTGGGAGACTGGTGTTTGGCACTTAATTTGCCCACCAGTGATGGGGGCACTTTGCAGTGAAGTTTTTACAGGGGGGGGAAGAGTGGCTGCCATCACGAACCAGGAATATAATGATTAAAGTCTTACAGAATGTTAAAAAGCGAATGTAGTGTAGTGCACGGAGTAATTTATGCAAATTTATATGTAATATATTTACATTATATTATATATTTATATTTACTATATCGGCTTATATTTCATGTGTGAAATACACAGATTTATTTTACCGGAAGTGCAGCAATGCTAAAACAATTCCCAAGTATGGTATAAATATATACAATATGTATGGTTTTATATTCTCTGTAATTTGGAAAGACTTGGCAACACAAGCTAAAATTACCTTTACTGTGTAGAGTACCACCCGAGTGTCAAACAGCAAGTCTACCTTTACTTGATAGCCTAAAGATCAAACATGCAGATTCTTTTCCCTAAAATCTGAAGTACATGAAAATGAAATTAACTATAATCTCATTTTCTTACCAATTATAACTTGCCTATCCCAATATTCCCAATGTGGGGCAGCCTGCCTTTTATAAAATTTTATTTTGCTTTTTTTGCTTGATCACTTGATACAGTTCAGAAGACCAGTGTCATGAAAACTAGTTGCAGTGCAATTTGTAAGATTTTGTTTTGGGATATTGTGCAGTCATAGAATTTGGTCTTTCAAAGAGATCAATATAATATACTGACATGATGTTCTATCTTTTTCATCCCTAGGCTGCCATTTCTTGCTTGAAAGAGCGTGGTGGTTCCTCACGTCAGGCCATTCTGAAGTATATTATGGCCAACTACAATGTTGGGAAAGATGAGAAGGTCATAAACAGTCACATGAAGATGGCACTTCGTGCAGGTGCTAAAAATGGCAACCTGAAGCAATCTAAGGGCACAGGTGCCTCAGGTTCTTTCAAACTTGGCAGCAAGGAATCGGAGAAACCGAAGAAAATCAAGTCGCCGAAGAAGACAACGAAGCCAAAAGCTGTGAAGGCAAAGTCTCCAGGGAAGGCAAAGAAACCCAAAGTAAAAAAACCGGCAGCTGCTAAAAAGTCCTCAACTCCCAAGAAAACTTCAGTAAAGAAACTCAAACCTGCAAAATCTGCAAAGTCCAAGAAGGTTAAATCGCCAAAAAAGAAAGGTTCACCCAAAAAGGCAGCTGCGAAAAAGTGAATTTCTGTGAATTGTCATAAACTGAGATGAGACTCTTTATGCGTTATAATTTACAGACTTACTCAATCACTGTTTGCCGTTTCTTAATTTACATGGATCGGCAACACAATTTGTGGAAATGATATTTTGGACTGAAGGCTTCAAACTCGGACAAAACATTTCAGTTTGAAATGGAGCTGCCACCATTGTTTTTGGAGCTTTTGATGCTGTGTATGTTAATGAAATTTTATAAGATGTTTGTACAGAATCAACATCAGTCATTTTACTCGTCTTATCTTTTGCATCACTTCCCATATATATGACAACCCATCTTGTTTGATCTCATTTCATTTAAGTTTAGTCGTGTACATTAATGCGTCATGACACTGGATATCGGCCGCTCGTCAATTCTTGGGAGTGGGGAGTTGTTGCTATCATCTTCAAGCTTTTTTCTTTTGTTTTTCTTTTGATGAAAAAAAAAAATTGCCCATTTATCTTGAATAGAATTTATACACATGTTCAGAGGAAGACGTGATTGAAGATTGAAGGAGGTATGTATAAAGGGGTATCGGATTCTGTTGCTGGAGATAAAATTGATAAGAAAATGACCACTCAATTTTGGCCACTTACAAAGCTTCGTTGCTCTTGAAAACTTCAAAGTGTTTATTTGAATGACAGGTTATTCAATTGTATTATTTTGACGAGCACTTGATTTTATCACATTGTCGCACATATTGTTCCCCCCCCCCATTTTTGTTGTTGTTGTTATGTACATTATTTGACCCCCTCATTTCTTTCCATTTACATCATGTTACTTTATGATTCAATCCATCCTTCATCACAATGAAGTGTCTCCCAATATAACACATCAATTTCCATCATATATTATATTTCATCTTGTGACCTGCGTCTGTGATGTGAGATGATGTATTATTGTAGGCTTTTCATCATTCAGGCAAAGAATTAATTTAATTCACCTTGATGAAAGAAATGACAGGTGGTTGGGAGGGGGGGGGGGGTCGTGCCATAGGTAGGTCTTATACTTTTAACTCTCTGTTGTTTCTGTCTTTCTGTCTTGCTTCTTCCGTGCACATGACAGTTCTTGTGTCAAATGCTTCTCTTTACTTAAACTCAACAAAGTGACCTTCTTCCTCTGAATTCACGTCATGATGGTTTAAAATAAATTAACATTTTTTTATACTTGTATTATCGGCCGAACACAAGAAATTCAGTTTGAGTAGTTTCAAAAACAGCCTCTGAAAATGCACTGGGCACAGAATCTCAACCATTGTTGTTACATTATAGTATGCCTCCTAATTTTACTCCTTAGTTCTGGTCAGTTGGTGGTCTACGGACGGTGGTGGCTGCAGGTCACAAACCTGAGCAAAATGAGTGCAGGCCCAACCAAAATACCGCACACACTGTATTAAATTTGTAAAACTGTAAAACTGTTTCTTGTTCTTCATTGTTGTTTATCGTTGTACAGTTGAGGTAAATTGTCTTTCTAGATCAGATATGTTTATGCCCACTACATGTTCTTGGTCTTCATCATAGTGTTAGAGATGTACTTTTATAAAATTATAGGTGGTTGGCGGGTGCTCTGGTGTGGTTTGCTCTGTCGTCCTTGTCTCTCCCTCCTCTTTTTTACTTTTAATTACTCTTTTGTAATAACACCTCCAATCTTTGGCACTTGATGTACAGTATGACCTAATTGTGATGCAGGTGCCGTAAAACTCTTAACTAAAACTAAAGATACATAACATACTCGAGTACATTGTACAGTATAGACCTTGAAGACACCTTTAAAAAATGCTCCTCGCGCTGGAATTGGAATCAAACTTTTGTATCCTGTGGCTGTGGACTCGCTGTGGTCAGGGGCTAAGATGAGCCAAGTCCCAATTTTACCAGATCCCGTACAGACGCCTCGGTGTATTAAACTCTCCATTACAGAGTGCGGTCAAAAATTCAAGGGGCAACTTATTTATCAAATATCATGTGATCTCCTCAATTGTCGAACATATGTTCTCCAATTTTTGCAAAATGACGTGTGTATCAACTTGTCCAAACAGATCAACATTTTTGTTAACACCTGGTCCTGCTAGCTGTATTCTAGAAAATTTCTTAAATTAAATACTAATAAAGAATCCAAATTGGTGGTTTTTACAGATTTTTAAATTAGACAGCTGGGGCAATATATCGCTTTTAAATGCAAGTCTGTCACGCTTTTTTAAATCGGGACATTATGCTTTTAGTGAACGCATGTCTTGAGAACTGTTTGTACAAAAATATGTTCCTATTTAATACATAATACATATATATATATATATACATATATATATATATATATATACATATATATATATATATATAAAACTAATTTCTTGTAACAGGTTTTGCCACTAGAAATTGTCATTGATGAGCTGTGACGTAGGCCATAAAATGCGTAAAATAAAAAATGTGTGGGAGAGGCGGGAAGTGCTGTGAACAATCCCATTTTACATGCGACAGATTTCAGGCAAATTTTACATTAGTGTAAGGGAAGAAAAGTTATTTAATCTAGCCCCATTTGTTCTGGAGGATGGTAGTCTTTGCATGAAGGCTCTTCACAGAATGAGGTGTCATCTCTGGATCATGTATAGAGTCAACTCACAGGCTCATCTGGTTTTTGAAAGGAGCATTGAATGTTTGCAGTCCAGCCCACTCTGCCGAGGGCTAGGAATTATGATTGATGGCAATAGGACATCATGTTACTGTTACTAGTGTTACCAGCAGATGCTCTGTCTTGAGCAATGAGCCACATTTTTTCTCTTTTTGGTTTTTACTAAATTTTGACTTTGACTGTGGTTCATGATGGGTTTGGAAAGCGGAGGATTTAAATAACATTGTATAGCTCACTTACTTGAGATTGTGGCGGGACTTGAGTTGCCATGTGTATCATTACTATCATGTAAGCCTACTGTGTTGGTAAGCCAGCCATGAGTTGGTGAACCCCAGTGTACTGTGTACACAAACATGATCGAATCTTCTTCAGCAAAGCATGGTCCTACACACGTTGGGAGGAGCATAACATAACAATTTTATCTTGTAGTTGTAGACTTTGCAGGCCCATTACAATATTACATTACGGTACATCATCTATTCGAAGTGCTAGCTAATTAATTGTGCCGGTATACTGCCTCCTGTCTCTTTTGCGTCTATCTATAGGCCTACATGATTAAAATTATACGGTATAATGTAAATGATACCAACCAGGAGGATTGAATTACCTACTCTTACCTCCGTCTATGTCTGCACGACCTCCTCCCTCTCTCTTTTCTATGTCTGCGTGCCTCCCCCC